CTACATGCGGCATGGTGATGTTTGTCGCTGGAGACGAAACAGATGCAGAATACCCCAGAGGAAATGATGAAAAATAATAAGATAGTTACCTCTGCAGCTACATTTTTCAGGAATATGAAACAGAAAACACTAGAGACTCAAAGGAAACAATGTCTTCTTAGTGAGACTATTTTCTATGAAAAATACAAAAGGGTAGAGGCCCTGGGAATTTCCAGAACATTATCGAGATAGACAGACACACCGGGCTCTTATTCTGTGTGAGCAGTTATTATTTTCTCTCCATAACGGTTCTGGATATTTCATGGTATGATCTGGCCTTCAGTAGAGTTTGTCTTCATGTAATTTGCAATTTGAATGATAACAAAGCAGAAAACACTTTTCATTGAATAACTCCAAGTCTATGAATTCATTGTTTATGGGTGAGGTGTGTGACAAAAGAAAGAAAGAAAGAAAGAAAAAGACTAGATTATGATTTATTGAGAAAAGATTAAAGCTTTCCAAAGTTTGAAAAATTTTCCCCAAAAATGCAAGTCACTTCTATCTAGTAATCCAGATAGAAATCTCACAGGTCACCAGAGTGCACATGCCCACAAAGCTTGTCATACGATAAGACTCCATGTGGGTCCTGTCAACTCTTGCGGAGGAAACCCTGAACACAGGGATTTGCAAATAGACTCAGACTGAGAATGGGTGCAGTTTGACAGCTGAGGTCAGACTATAACTGAGTAAAGAGAACATGTTTACACGGCTGCACATGAAGTCCAGGAAGGGTGGAGAAAGAGAAAGGTATAAAAAATCAGCATTGACACATTTGAGAATCACTTCTCAGAGGAATAAGAGGGATACTAATGGATGCTGATGTTAGAGATGAAATAAGAATTTCTGAACACTCATGGGCTCTGAATCTGCTAACACTTTGCACAATTCGCTTTACACACACACAGAAATAGTCCCATTGTAGTCCAATATAAAATTCCTATTTTAAGATTTTAAAGCCGTAAGGGATCATTAGATCATCTCTTCTGACCTTCTGCGTAACATAGATCATAAAATATCATGCAGAGACAGTTGTACTGAGCCCAAAACTTCTGTGGAGTCATAAGTCATGGGAGCTTCAGTGTCAAGTTTTGTCTTCAATATTTGATCTTAAAAGCAAGGTAATTTACCTTTAGATAAATAGAAAACCTTGTCTCTCTTTACCTAGCAATGTCTGCACTTGCTGCAGTAGAAGTCAAGGAACATGGCCATTTAAATTAATGCAATTTATGGAGGACTTCTTGTTTGATATCATCTTGTGGAGCTTTGTTTGCTGGCACTAACACATCTATTAACATGTATATTAAATGAGCAACACTCAATATACATACAGCGAGGCAGTGACACATCCCTGACCAAATATTTATATAGAACTAAAAGCTGTGACATATGTTTCAGCACTTGTCCAATGTGATCATTAAACACTGAATATGTCCATTAGTCCCACCTCATCTGCACATGCCAGCTTTGATGCTCAGGTGCCATAGAGTGGAGAGGCCCTCCCATCCCAATTATTCTTTTTTTTTCCTAACCTCAAATTTCCATGCAATTTATTTACTTTTTTGTAAGTTTATATGCAAGTTTTATCCACCTCAGTGCTCATTAAGACAGGCCACATAATCAGACAGGTCCAACACAGTAAGTTCAAAATGGCTGTGTTTGTTTAAACCCTCAAGCGCTCTTTACTGATAGAAAGCTTATTTATTTCTTCCTCAAGCCCAGCAGAAATCTGCTAGGAACTAGTTGTGTGATTTATTTTCTCATCTCTCCCTATGAGGCTTGCAAACATTTTTCAGATTTGGGAGGAACTGCTCTGAGCAGGAAATGTCTGCAGACTCAAAGTGAATGTAAATATCTGTTTTTACCACCTGAATCAATGACAGAAGAAAAGAAATAAAGGTCACTGGAAATTCATTCCATTGAATAAAGGAGGTAAGATTCAGCTGCATGGTAGAAATGAAAAAAACACACCTGAATTTTAATCTGGGCTTCAGGTGACTGTCTTTACTTTTCCCTGAAGTAGCCATGTAAGTGAATGATTTTGATAAAATCTCCATCTTCACAACACACTTACCAAAGCTTTCATGCAGTGTTGCTGTTACTTCCTACCCTCCAGGATTTTAACAGCAGCTGACAGTCAGACTATCTGCTCCCTTTAAAGAGAAAAAGTAAAAGCTCATTTTTGGAGACATATATATATAAATACACACACACACACACACACACACACACACACATATATACATTTTTTTTCCTGATATATTAAAGACCTAAGTAGATCAGCTATCGGGGATGGTCTGATCCAAAATTCCCCATACATGAGTTATTTTAGATAACACCTTTTAAATATAATGACGGATATGAATACATTAGAGTAGCTCTGATCTGGACATGGGATTTTTAAATTCAATGGGAATACACATTAGGTACAACTACGTTTACTTTTTTATGTAATTAAAAATAAATAAGAAAGTTACCTGTAGGTGACTAACCTCACACAAAATAAGAATCAATTAAGCCCTTCACTGAAATTTGACCAGAATCCAGATTTACACCTCTGCAAAGCTTGTGAGTGGTAAGGTATGTACATCTCCTATTTATCCTTTTTAGGCATAGAAGTGTCAAAATACCACAGAAAACTATTCGCAGCACTGAAAATCTGCATATGTACTTTGTGATTAGAAGAGTCTCAGGCAGATAAGGAAGACCTATGCATACAGCTGTGCACTGAACTCCAGCTCTCAAGGTGATGAAGTTCACCGTTGTTTTGGCCTGATTCACGCTCTAAATATTTATGAAATGTTAACTCCTTTTGGTTGCTCAGAAAGGTATTTTCCTCGTATGCTGTTTGATTTTGCCCAGATGTAATCTTTGATTTTATCCTCAGACCAATGGAAAACCTCTTAACATTTGCTAATGACACTCACTTGCCTATTAATTTTTAACTATAAGTGTTCATTTTATTTTCACTATTTTGTTATACCTTTTAATGCCAACCAGCTGTCCAACAGCAAGACTGTGACATTTGTTTCCTAGGCAGTTCCAAAACACTGATTCCACAGAAAAAAATCTTGAGTAAACATATCTATGTTTTCCTCTCTTTCTTTTTCTTTGTTCATGACAATATTAAATAATGTTTCTGTTCATCAATAGGTGTATCTTTCAATTATTCAGGAAGTGAAGGAGGTAGACGTGGCAGATTTAGTGTGATGATAGCTAAATAATTTATCCTAAATAAACCTAATACAATGAAAAAGATGCTGGTGAGGGATTGTGAGGGACAGAAATAACATTTGTTCAAAATTCCTGTTGAAAATCCAAATTGTTATTGTATGCTGTCATACAGATATTCAAAGACCATTTAAGAAGCATATTCTTTTAGATGCACCTTCATGCATCGTAAGTGATTTCAGTCAGGTCAACAAAATCCTGAATTGTGGTATTGTAAGTGGAAAGAGAATTTGCCTCAGAACTTTATAATTTTAGGAATCCATTCCTTGTCATAAAGTGATGTAAATTGTAGTTGAAGTATTACTCATAGTAGCAGTTTTAAAAGAAAAATACTAGTTGGAATGTAATTTTTCATACATGCCCTTTTCATTGTTTAACAGTTATTGAAAGGGAGGCATAACTACTTTCACAGTTTGCTTTGAAATTAGCATTCATATATGTTATCAAGGAAAAAAATGGAATACTGAGGTTACAATTACCTGTCTTAGTTTACATAATAAATATTCCTACTAGGGACATTTTTTTTTTTGTAAATGCAGGCATAACCACAGAATGTAGCACCTGAATAATGAGTGATACTTATGGGTAATTGCTAGTGAGTTCAGTCTGAACTGAGTAAGAATGAGGTAAATAGCACTCACAGCATTCCTCAGGGGAGCAGGAGCAGAACTGTGTCTTAAAAAAAAAAAAAGAACTAGCTAATGTTCAGCTTGCTTTGCAGTCTTTTGTGCTATCCCACACAGGCTATAGCATTTTCCTTTGTTTTCCCATACTTACAGCCCATATTTTGGGACTGCAAAACAGTTAATGTTTCAGCCTGATAGGGATGTAAGTATTCACATGTTCATAAAATGGAGCAAGATTGAGGTTTGTTTGGTTTTGAGAACACTAATACTTATTTGATTTCTTTTCTCTCTTATTTTCTATGGCCTTCAAAAAGAGCAAACATCTTCAGGGTAAAGAAAGTTCTCTTGAATCAGTGAATCCATTGTAAACATAGTGGGCTCTATTGGATCACAAGGGAGAATTATAGACTCGTGGCATGTGACTAACGTTTTTTGTGGACGGCAGCCAGATGCAAAGAACGAAAGTGGGAATGGGAAAGAGAAGACTTACACAGAAGACCGCAGAAGTTCCTATCTGAAAACTCCCATTACTTAATAAATAATACTTATTAGTATAAGCACCATAAATAGATAAAAATTAAGTCAAAACTAAGCATTAAAAAACAGTGCCAATTGTAAGCATAATCGTTAGAAAACATGGCAGGATTAATGCTTCTAAAAATGTGGATGACTAGAGAACAGTTAAGGTAGATAGGCAATCTATCTGCACCACTTATCGTATTATCATTTATGTCCCCACCCTCTGTGTGATCATCTCCTCAATCTAATTTTAGCTTTCTCCTCCTCCAGCACCCCAGCTGGTGGATGCTATTGCCCTCTTCTGGCTAGAAACTGCGCAGTGAAGCTATTCAACAAAGGCATGCCCTCAGCAGTTCAAGGATAATCCGCGAGGAAGATCTTGGTCCAGGTCAAGTGAGTTTCTGCTGCAGCTGGATTCTTGTATTCCAGAAAGCCTCAGCACGGTGCAAAACACCACATAAAAGCCTAAACAAATACTGTTTCAGACAGCAAGCTAATAAAAATAAATATGATTGAAACAAAGGTAAAAATATCATTTATTTAAGGAAGAATGGATCACACAAAATCATTTACAGAGGTGTTGGTTGATCCTCCTGCCACTGCGAAAATCCACGTGGGAGAGAGTCCTGGCTAGGTAAGGTTCCTCTGGGCAGATGCCCTCCTGAACAGCCTCCTTCAGTCATCTCCATTTAAAACAGACAGGCATCATGGATAGTGGAATCGCATTAGTCTCCAGTCCAAATTTTTTCTTTACTCTGCTTCCTGTGGTGGGCCCCTCCTGATCCCTCTGCTGTGACAGCAGCTTTAAGGGTTTAACAACACGCTGCCTTTTGATCTCATTTCAGCAGCTGTGATTAAATAGACACACATCGCTTGCTGTGCCACTATGTGAGCAGCCCATGGTTCACCTTCACTGAATTAGTACCCGCTGAGCACTGCAAATATTTGAAATGTCAATCCATTTGATAATGTCAAAGAGGGCTGCAAATACCACAGAATGGCACCAAGGAAATATTCAGCTCACTCCGTGGCATATGTAATATCTCTTTTCTGCAGGACAAAAAACATAGTTAAACAGAAACAGGAAACCATCATAAGATGATGCTAAGGTCAACAGATCTAATAACCTGAAGTTGGACATGCTCCTGCAACTTATCATCTTAAAATTTTAACCAACCTCTCCACCCCACCAAATTCTATTATTCTTCTATCCCAGTTTGCCCATTTTAGCAAATTATTTTCTATTAATAAAAATTGGGATGTTCATAACAGTGACCTATGTGTTTTATGTACAGATTCTGTCACTTAAAATCAGCATAGAAAGTACAGTCTTGTTATGACATCTTTATTACATTTTTCCAGTCAAGAATCCTAAGCCAGCGGGAAATATTTTATCTGAATAGAACACAATAATGAGGCCATATTTTCAGTTATAGAAGCTTGGATCAGCAAAGAAGCAGGTGAAAATAGATGAGATTAAGCTGACTAGTAGGTTGCACTTTGCCCTGTAGAAAGATTTACCTTTACAAAAAAAAGCGGGAAACAAGACATTAAACTTTTTGCCAGGTGCTGAAGGAGAAAGGTACCATCCTAAAGCATGCATAAAGAACAGAGATCTAACAATTGCATAGAAAAGGCAATGGTCTTCAAATGAATTATATATTTTTTTATTACAATTCCTTGCTAAGTTACAGATTTTTAACAACTTCCAGTTGCAACTGCTTCCAGTTGCATGTAAGAAAATATATATTATTGAAGCAGCACAAATTTCCTTTTTCACTAAAGAGTTATTCAATCATCCAAAGCTTTTTCAAAAAAAAATAAAGTTCATGTACTGACTGGCAGAGCAAATACCATGTGCCTTATTTGTGGCAGCTGAGAGTTAAGAAATACTTGTTTCCTTTGTATGCTGATGAAGACTAATGCTTCACTGAGCACAAATACATCTGCCTGTAATTAGTAGAGTGGTACCTTAGCAATAAGAAGTTATAGTGAGACTGTCCAATTATCTTGACATTTCAAAAGGCAGCTACTTTTCAGTAGCTCATAAGCAGTTGCCAGGTTAATCTAAAGAGATATTTTTAAATCCATAAGACAAGGAAAATTACAAACTGCAGAACGATGTTCATTAGCATCAGGCACCCCAAAAAACCCTTTCTGAAAGCTTGGCTACAAGTTCCTCTTGCGTTTATCAGTCACTTGAACTGCTTCATTTCCAATTTTTTAGCTTCATTACTGAGGAAGATGACTTACATGATCACTCTGTCTGTGGCTCTCTTTTTCCCCATTAATTTTTAAACCTACTAGTCTACCTATCCATCAGATTCGGTTGTGGTTGCAAATACAATTCATATCCTCCAAATTCTGCAGCAGTGAAAGGTGAGAGAGGAATGCTGCCACCTTCTCATAAGTTCAAACTTTGTTAAACACCAGAGCATCCGCATAAGAAAAACTTGATGAATGTCTGAATTACAGAAAAACTTCTTTTGAACCTATCAATCAATCATGAGGTGTAAACTTGTAGATAAATTGCGTAATCAATCCCAGCATTCACAAAAATACTTTTTCTGTTTCGTATCATTTAGACCCAATCTTTAGAGAAAAACATCCACTCCACCTAAAGATTTTGACTGTACTTTCATCACCAAAATTAACCTAAAACTGTACTGTTGGTAGTAATGCTTGTGGAGAGAAGAAGGAGATGTCATGAGGATGGAAGATTTTGCAAACTGCACAAACACATTCTGTCTTTGCATCAATTAGAAATTACCATGGCAGATAAAAAGATAGGGCTTTCATACCCTACATATTTCTGAAGACAGGAAAATTTCAGATCCAGATAGGACACTAGATGGGAGGGGATACTATAGGAATGACCTGAATCAGAGCACAAGCACTTTGATTCAGCCTCACTTAATACTGTATATCTAGATGGCTGTAAATATCATAAAGCACACCCAAGTTATCCTTTAGAAACAGCTATTGTGAGAAGAATATAGGAAGACTCTTATTCTATATCTTTCTCAAACTACAGGCTTTCTCAGAATACAAATATCAACTTCTACAGCAGTCAGCGGGAAATCACACTTTATTTGAAAAGAGGCAAGATTAAAAAAATAAAAACAAAACACAAGGGAAAAAACACCCTTCCATACAGACACATTAATTGGAAAATATTTACCTAATGTTGCCAATATATCTGTATTCTTTCCTGCTAATATAATTATAAAAAATATTTAAAAAAAGGGGGCAGGTCTTAGTCTATACAGCTAATGCAACTAAAATATATGTAAGAAGATTTATTAATGACAGATATAGTTGACCAGTCTGAGAACCACTCTGTATACAGACAAGTGATTTCCAGTAAATCTTGCAGAGATACTAACTTCTAAAAGAAGTTTGGAAGTTTTACTTACCATTGTGCCTATTGTCTTTGTCAACATCCCACTGCAAATACCCCAAGCATCAGAAGTTATTACTGATCCTCTCACTTCTTGTTCTGAGAAAGTTCAAGCTATATTTCCTCTTATTTTTTGTAATGTAAACAACTTCTATTGTAGTTTTATTTCCATTACTTTACTGAGTTTTATCTCTGTCTCAAAATATGAATACATGCATGCACACAAACACATACACACTGCTGCACTAATTTTACTGCCATTTAGTTAGAAGTGCAACTGAAAAATTCAGGTATCTTGTGCTGCTCCCTCTACTTAGCATGTGTTAAATTAAACCTGCACTGTTGATCACTGTTTAAAAAAAAAGTACTTCAAAAACAAGGTTATCAATTACCGCTCTCCCACCTGCTTTTCGTCTGAGAGCAGGAGAGCAGGAGACTGCAGTCAAAAGCAGGCAGGCTCTACAAAGCCTCTGAGTTTTGCTCACCTCTGCTAATTTTTCCTTTGATCATATTATTAGACAACAATGTCAGATATTCTTTTTCATGTATGCAGTTTATCTCATATCTGTACCTTCTTATCCCCTAATCAGAAAGGGACTATAATTCTGATTAAGGCCTCTGCTATGCAGGCATTCATTAGTGTAATTCTTTCTTTGCTCATCTCCCTCAGTCACCTTTGAAGTGATTCAGTTGCTCAACTAAAGGACAGAATATGAATATATTTCAGCAATGGAGTGGCTTAAATGGAAGATATCTCTTATCTGACTTCAGTACATGCTTTATCCTTGGGCAGACTTTAAGCACCCTCAGATACTCTTCCCAAGCAGCATCAAGAAAAGGTCCCTTCAGTTGTTCTCCAGACGAAGGCAAGGCAAGGTGCTTTCTAAGTGCCTGATTAGCCCATTCCCTATTATTCTTATTAATTTTTTTAAATACGCATAAGCCTTTCTGTGCCATCAACAAAACTAATATCTAAGTTAAAAGTGGAGGACATTAATTAGAAAATACACTCCTGGCTGATAATTAAAATGTGCATATTTATCCATTATACTAGGTTCTGGCTTTGAAGGGTATCAATTTATTTTTCACTCCTGAAGAACAGAAGAAATAAAGGCAGAGCTACGTTTGTGTGGTGAGATCTACTGATGGCCTTAGCTTTATTTGCTGGTTTTTGGGTTTTTTTTTTTCCACATCAGTCCTCATTTTGCAGATCGTCACAAAATAGCTCAGGTTGGAACGGACCTCTGGAGATAACCTGATACAAGCCCCCTGTATCTGACATAAGCAGGGCCAGTCAGTGCAGGTTGCCCAGGACCATGTCCAGTCACATTTTGAATATCTCCAACAAAGGAGATACCACAACTTCTCTGGGCAGCCTGTTCTGGTGTTGAAGCACCCTCAGAGTGAAAAAGTATTTTCTTATGTTCAGATGGGGTTTCCTGTGCTTCAGTGTGTGCCCGTTGCCTCTTGTCCTGCTGCTGGGCATCACTGAGAAGAGTCTGGCTCCATTTTCTTTACACCCTCCCATCAGGTATCTATACACATTGTTCACAGACTTCTCTTCTCCGGGCTGAACAGTTTAAGCTCCCCAGCCTCTCCACCTATGACAGATGCTCTAGTCCCTTAATCTTCTTTGTGGCCATTCACTGGACTAATTCCAATAGGTCCATGTCTTTCTTGTCCTGGCAAGCCCAGCACTGGATATAGCACTCCAGATGTAGCCTCACCAATGCTGAATAGAGGGGAAGGCTCACCTCCCTTGACCCGCAGGCAACACTCTTCCAAATCCAGCCCAGGATACCACTGGCCTTCTTTGCCAAAGGGAAAATTGCTGGCTTATGATCAATTTCATGTTGACCTGGACCCCCAGGTTCTTTTCTACAGAGCTGCTCTCCAGCTGGTCAGCCCCCAGCCTGTACTGGTGCAGAACTCTGCACCTCCCACTGCTGAACTTCAGGAGGTCCCTCTCTGCCCCTTTCTCCAGCCTGTCAAGCTCCCTCCGGATGGCAACACAACCCTCTGCTGCATTAGCCTCTCCTCACAGTTTTGTATCATCTGCAGACTTGCTGCAGGTGCACTCAGTCCCATCATCCAGGTCATTAATGAAGAGGTTAAAACAGTATTGGCACCAGTATTGATCCCTGGGGGGACACCTCTAGTGAGTGGCCTCCAGATGGACGTCATGGCCCTGATCACAACCCTCTGACTCTGGCATTCAGCCAGTTTTCAGTAAGCCTCAGCGTTCACTTATCTACCCTGTACTTCATCAACTTCTATCTATGAGGACTTAATGCGAAACAGTGTTGAAAGCCTCACCGAAGTACGTTCAAGATGTTGTAAACAACGTCCACTGCTCCCCCCTCACTCACCAAGCCAATCATTTCGTTGTAGAAGGCTATCAATCAGGTTGGCTAAGCACAATTTTTCTTTTGTAAATCCATGGAGACTAGTCCTGATCACCTTGCCCTTCTTGTGTCTGGAAGTACTCTCTAGAATTAATTACTGCGTTACCCTCCCCACCATCAAGGTGAGACTGACTATCCTGTAGTTACTTGGATCCTTCTTCTTGACCTTCTTACAGAAGAGGACAATATTTGTTTTCACCCTCTTACGGGGTAAGGGTGGGGAGTGATATATTTTTTTTTTCCAG